ATTTATCAGCGTAACAGCGACAGAGGTCGTTTCAATCTCCAAACAAATTAAAAAAATTATATTTCTGTTTCCAATTGCACATGCAAGTTGGGAATGGAAGGTTTAGTTTCGATCGCAGCGATAAGGAAGTACTTTCATTTGAAACTTATCTATTTACATATACGTTTATTATTATTATTCTGGCGAAGTGAGCCTCTCGATATCTCGGGTTCTCCTTCCTGCTGGTTAATACATTATGGATGCCCGCTCGCGACGCCCACGTGAAACATCCCGTCCTGAACTTCAAAACACGGTTGACGACCGTCCCGCGGGATCATTGCCGATTCCGAAAAAAATGAATCTTTCTCGCACGCATCAAATCGCACGTACGGGTATTCCCTAAAAAATGTCCGCGGAACACGTCGCGACAGGGCGTCGGATAAAGGTTCGGGGGACGTTCGCGTGGGAATACTGGTTCGGGTGCCTCGGTTGGGTGGCCGTGCTCGACGTCTACACGCTGATAACGTTGACTCCGTCCGCGACACTGAACGAGGAAAACGAAGAGACTTCGAAACCCACACAAGTACTGCAAATGTAGAACGAATTACGGACAATAAAATGAGAAGAAATTCGTTTTATATACGGTGACTATTATTAACATTTAGAACACATTTAAGTATTTTAAAATTGTTTCCAAAAATTGATTTCCTGTCTGGATTAAACTTACTTTTCTATGAAATGTCAGAAGGTTTAGTTTTCTGTAATTATTATTCTTTCTAAAAGTTCATTGCTTCAAATATTGGACATTTTATTACAAGTCTTAAATTTTTGGCAGAGATCCTACGGCACATACAACCTTAACATAGATTCTATATCTGTCGATATAATTATATATGTATTCACAAACGAACGTTGTATTAATACTAAAAAATCGATTACTCTTCAACATGAATATTTGCATTATCTTTGACTGCGAGGCAGTCATGGAGATTACACGATCGATAGGGAACACGCACGGGGGACTGAGCTCGGGAGGATTGCGCATAATTTGGCGGCCGAAGGCGATCGCACGCGGAACCACTTCGTCATCGTCGACCCGCGTGGAAATTGCATCTCGGCGTGTCGCTGTCATGTTCGTTGAAACGCGACACGACGTTCACTGTCGCAACACCCGGCCGCGTGCTTTCCGTCCTTCTCCACTGCGCGACGTTCCATTTACGTTTAGGCACAAAGAAAATCTCTGTTACTCCCATTTTCGTCTATTTAACGCTGTAACACCGACGTTATCCGTCAGACAGATTTATCATTATGATATTTGTTATAAATTCTGGTACAGGCAGGTGCATGGAAGATGGAATAGGGCTCTAGGTGATCGTGAGTGGTGCTCGTAAAATCTGTCTGTCCTAAGGATAAACTGCATATATGCTCGCAGATTATAGCTGCGAGAAATAGGATCAAAGGGATTAGCGTGGCAGGTGATTCCAGTTAGGTCGGCGAATCGTGTGTGTTCCGGTCAGGCTGGCAGTGTGTCTGACGTTAACTGGCTCATTTCCCTTCCCAACTTGTTTCACAGTCGTTTATGTTCTCTTCATCTAACCTAAAATCGGATATCCTTATAGAAATATTCAAATTCACGAAGGATAGACTTTCGCAAATTAAAGATTCTTATTTTATTTATTTATTTATTTATTTATTTATTTTTATTTATATATGTATATGTATATGTATATAATGATATGCATGTACCTGTTTTCGTGTGTGAAACGTGTGTCGTCGTGTGTCGATGCGAACTTCCGTATGATACTCTCTGCTTTCAACCCCCCAGCCCTCCTGCCGCTTTTTCCTTTCTATTCTCTTATACTTTATACTGTGTCATCTAGATTTCATATAACATGTACATATCGTATCGTGTATTGTTGTTTCCTTTTCGTTTAATGTCGAGGAAGAGTCCATGGCAGTGAACAGAATGGGTAATGTAAGTATTAGTCTACGATCTATAATAGAGTATGCACGTGATTTGATACATTGCTTTTGCATGCATTGTTAATGATATTTCCGTTCGTTTAATTCTCTTATAACCGTTACACGTTTCATCATCACCTTCGTATGTATTTTTTTCTTTTGTTAAACTAGCAAGCATTAAATAACAACTGACTCGATTTCGATTTTCTCGTATGATTACAATCTTCTTTTTTTCATCTCAATGATATGACGTGTCAATATGTATGTAGTTTTTAAAGTGGAGAAAAATTTAACATTCAGGGCGCCGCCGTTAGCCGAAAACCATAATCGTCTTAAATTCGATATTATAATTTAGCTATACAACGTTGTATATCAAAACTTATAAAATACCCAAAACCACTTGCGCGGCGACTTACCCTGACCCTGCATTTTTTCGCGATATTTTCCCTCTCTCTATGATATGCGTTTAGAGCCAGGCTTTTTCTTCTTGTTATTGGTCATTCAAATTTAAAATGTTTGGAAAGTTCGCGTATCTCGCGTGCGTGTATCTTATGTTAGCACGCGTGCGGTCGATTCTCGTTCGTTCTCTCGTCGTTATACAATTTGTCGTAACGCAAAACAATACCCTCGAAGTTAGTCATTTGTTAGATAATAGTCGTTATTTGAAAGCCGGTGGTGGTGCCCTTTGCCCATTCGTTTTCGATGAATCCTCGCTGGTCATCACTGTCACCAATTCGCCGACTGCTTTTCCTAAGTCCCCTAAAGAAAAATTTAACAACTGAGTAATCATTCTACTAGTAGTTTATTACTCCCTCCTTTATTACTATAGTATACGACTGAAAATCAGTTTATTCTGTACACAGGGAAACGTTAGGCATTGTGCGTTTCAATTAAACACATGCGAACATATGAATAATGGAAACAGTGCTTGGCGCATGAGAATTGCAGTTAAGAATTTATGATTACGCAAAGAAAGCAGATAAAAGACAATTAGAGTGTGCAATTAATCATTTTTACATAGAGTGAGATACCTGAAAAAGGATGTACTGATTTGATCTGACAAATTCTGGGATATGACTTGTGTTTCCAACACTTTCTGCCAATGCTCGCATGGCAAACTCGAACATTTCATTAAGTAGTATTTTATATATCTCACTCTACCTCTACAACTGGTCATCAGAGAATATTAAAGATTGTTTCAAATGTTCACGACGATGTTAAATGGTAGTTTTTCAATTCGAGATGATTTAGTAATGCCTTTAGTAGCACCGTATACAGAAAAGGAGGCAGCAGGGGAGAAGCACTGATCGTCTCACCTTACATCCACTCTGTGGCGTGAAAAATAGGAAAAAGCATGGTTATTGTCAAGCATGAAACGAAATCGTGCATAAGAGAACGTTCGACACAGCGATTTTTTTTCTTCAAATAAGATTGTATAAGAATGATTGAATACATGAAAGAATGAGGGGAAACGAACCTGCCATGTGCAATAGATTGCTCACGTTATGGGCAACGC